AAAAAGGTTAGAAAAAAGAGAGTGTGAGACCAACCTGGGCTACAGGTGAGCTCAAGGCCAGCCTGAGCTGCATAGTGAGACCCTGTCTCAATAAACAAACAAACAAACAAACAAATAAATGAAATGATACCCTGGTGACCCATGATCCTAAAGGTTGATGTGCACTGGGATTTTCCCAGGTCACCTTGGTGTTCAAGGCCTTGTTCGTACACTTTATCCTGGTCACAACAGAGGGCATCCTCAGGAGGGAGGATGGCACCTTGGCAGAGTGGCAGAGCTTTTTAGTTGCAAATCCAGGTGAAGGCACCAGCGCTTTGGCCCTGGCCTCCTCGTCTTGCTTCCTTGGCTGCCCACGGCTAGCACGTCCCCTCCTGGGCAGTACCAGGTGGCGGGCATCCTCTGAAGCGTTTTACACAGATTCACTGCTCAATCCCCGTGCCACTCCGCAGGCTATTCACGTGCGAGACAGGGCGCTGCGAGGCAAGGCTAACATCTGGAACCCATTAGCGGGAATCCAGCCCAGGTAGGCTGCCTTCAAAGTCAGCACTGTTAAAAAAAAAAAGCAAAAAAAAAAGCTAGGAGTTTTTTCTTCAAAAAATTGAAATATAACACTCATGACATGCAGAAATGAGAAAATCTTAGCTCCAGGAATACTAACAGAGCGAGTGCCACTGAGGTCGTACATAGGCGCTACTGGGACTCCACCGTGTCTCTCACCCTTCTCCCCAAGGTGGCCTTTATCTTGATTTCCTTTTCAGTACTGAGGACTGAACTTAGGGCCTCCGAACTGCATCCTCAACCCCTCCCCGCTTTTTAAAAATTTGAGACAGTGTCTCTAAACTGCCTAGGATGGCTTCAAACTTTCAATCCTTCTGCCTCTGCTCCTTAGCAGCTGGGCTTACAGGCCTGCACCTACACCAGCGTCTCTATCCTGATTTTTAAATTGTTGGGCTAATTTTGCATAGTTTTGAATTTTATATAGAGTTGTTCAGTAGTAGTCCTTTGATCAACATATGATTTATCATCTGGGTGTGGTGGTGTACACCTGTAATCCCAGCATTCCGGAGGCTGAGACAGGAGGATCATTGTGAGTTTGAGACCAGCCTGCGCTACAAAGCTCAAGGCCAGCCTGAGCTGCATAGCGAGACCCTGTCTCAAAGAGACATGAAATGTAATTTATATTATGTGAACTATTTTATTATAGATTCTATCACTGGTTTTTCTGAAGAGTGCTTTTTTTTCTTTTCAAAGTTTTATTGATAAACATATAGCAATGAGACAGTTTCAAATCAAATCGAAAGTACAGTTTCAACAAATAATACACTGCATATATTCTTCTGAAGAGTGCTTTTAGGAACCTTCTTAAACATCTATTTTGGAATGTGTCTTACTGCTTGTATATTCAGCGGTGGAACTGTTTGCTCCCAAGTGGTCATACAAACTTGTTTTCCTCCTAGCACTGTATGAAAGCCCTCTTACTTCACACCCTGGTGTTGTTAGGCTTTAAAATTTTACCTGTCTAGTGGATAAGTAGAGGTACCATTCCAGCTTTTCTATGTGTCTTTATTAAAGCATAACTGAAAGCAAAGTTTTTTTGTTTTTGTAGTCCAGACTGGTCTTGGACTCTCTATGTAGCTCAGGCTGGCCTTGAACTGGAGATCCTCCTGTCTCAGCCCCTGAGTGCTGGGATTACAGATGTGTGAGCAAAAACAAGCACTCAACACCCCTGTCCCGCTTCTCGTGGCAGTCCTGTGAGCTCGGAGCTCTGCAGGTCAGTGAGTGCAGGTAGATGGTGGCTTTCTCTGCTCTTCTGCAACGATTGTCACCTTCTCTGTCCCTCCCTACTTTCCCAGTGGTATTAGGGTGCCTGGACACCACCAGGCTTGGGTGTCCCCTCTGGCCAGGGAGGAGAGAGGTGAAGCCGGATGGGGCAGGAGTGGGAAGGTGAAGTGTAGAGGCTGGGGTGGGGGCTCTGCTCAGGAGTGATGGCCACAGAGGGGGAATGAGGTGAGCAGGGGCTGGTGGAGGGAGGGCCCCGTGTGCATGGGTGACAGGGGCCTCTCTGGAGCCCAGGCCCTCTCCCCGGTGACCCCTCTGCGGGGTCTCTGTGAGCCTCAAGGCCTCTGGAGGCTCTCTGGGTTCAGCAGTCTGTTGGCAGTGTCTCCCAGGGGTCCTTTGGGGGTGAACGGTGCCTTATTCCCAGAGCTGACAGAGCAGGAAGCAGAGCCTCAGAGAGTGCAGGGAAGGGATAGGGGTCTCCTCATCTGCTAGGCCAAGGCCACCGGGAGCAGCCAGCCTGTGCCCCATGACAGATGGCAGCTCTCCTGTCCCAGGCTCTCTGCCATCTTTTCTCCTGCAGGTGCCCTGGGTCCCCAGGATGTACCTTCCCTGCCGGGGCCCCAGCCCACAGCTCCTTGGCAATGGTCCTGGCCGCAGAGGCCGGGTGGTGCCATGGGCAGTTCGTATACTTAGTACATGTCTCGCGGCATCTGTTTCTGGCTGTGTGCTCTCTGGGTAGTGACAGAGTGTCCCAGGCTGCGGCCCCATTCACTCTCCTAGTGTCCCACACAGGTGGCAGCCAATGAGAAAGAGAGGCCATGGGTGACATCTGGAACCACACAAAAGAAAGCCAGAGCTCTCAGGCTATGACACTGCTAGGGCTGGAGGGTGTCCTAGCTCTCTGACTTCTTCCCACTGTGCAGGTGGCAAAACTGAGGCTGAGGTCATGAGCCAGCTGGTGGGCATAGGAACCTGGCCTGCACGGCCCCATGGCAAAGCACTGTCCCCACCACACCAGCTCCTCCTATCCTGGGCAAGGACCAGGCCTCCCGGTGCATGTGGGGTTGCTATGGCTTCGCAGATGGCGTCTCTGCCCCTGTGGGGGCCCAGAGGGCAGCTGTGCTGATCAGCCCTGTGGACCTGTGCCCCCTACTTGGTGTGGACACAGCAGACCATCGAGGACAGTCAGGAGGGGACTGCACCTGACCCATACCAATGTCCCCATGGTAAGGAAGGCCCTGACAGCTACTCCGGAAGGCATTGTGGTGTGGGGTTAGACAAGCAGGCCTTGCAGCCAGACTGAGGCAGCCCAGCAGGTCCAGGCATCCCGAGGGCAGCGCTCTGTCTCTCAGGGCTTGGCTCTCGTGGGTTCTATCTCTGCCGGGCAGAGGTTTGAAGTGTCCCAATGTGTGCCAGCGAGACCTGAGCCGCTCTGTGTGTTGGAACCTGGCCTCTCCCGCTGCAGGCAGAGGCTGACCCAACACCTAGCCCTGGGGGAGGGCATGGAGAGACCAAGCCTTGCCGCGGACCTCCAGCCGGCGGGAAGCTGTTTTCCAGCATGGGAGGAAGAAGCAGGAGAAAACCCTGGGTGTCTGCTACAAGTGACCTCTGCCCAGCCCTTTGTCTCTCTGCAGACCAGGTCCTGCTTTGCAGACCAGGTAGGAAGCCAGAGATCTTAAGTAACGCGTTTCGGGGTCCCTAGTGAGTCCAATGGCAGAGCTGGAGTGTGAATCCAGCCCAGCTGGACAAAGGTGACCCCTGTACTCTCGCTCTACCGTGGAAGCTGTGGCCCAAGGGTCACCCCAGTGAAGGAGTGTCTCGTGCCCTGTGTCTCTGGGACCCACAGGGTCCCGTTGTAAACTCCTCCTAGGGCACCTGCGCACTACCAGGATGGGTTTTATTTATACCCTCTTTCCTCTGTGAACCCGGAGCCGTGGCTCTCATTTCCCGCCCTTCCGCAGTCTTCACAGTGGCCAGTAGGTGGCGTATGCTCGCAACTTTTTGGTCTGTCCTGGGTCCGACGGGCCCCTTTCTTCCTCCCTCACCCCTGCAGGATGCACTTGCACCAAGTGGGAGGCCACCATCCCCTGCGGGGCATGGGGACGCAGGAAGCGGGTTTGTGAGCTGCGCGCGCTCGGTCTGACTGCTCGGAAGCCTTCTGGAGCCCTCTGTGGCGGTCACCCTGACGCCGCCCGCAGACTAGCAGAACCCTTGGGAGTGGGGGGCGAGAATCATGGTTCCCGCGACGGAAGCTAGGAGTTGGGGCTCTGCTCCAGATGTCCTCCAGGCCCCCTCCCGGGGCACTCAGGTCTGCAGCAAGGGCGGCGGACGGCCACAGTCAGGCTCTCACCGGGCAGCTCGCTCCCGGCGAGAGGTCCTGGGACAGTGGGAAAAGCCACCTTTTCCTCCAAGGCCTCGACTGCCATCTTAGGGGAAGTGGCCGCGAGGATACGCGAACGTGCTTTAGCTGCCAGCGGTGGGGCCCCTGGAGTTGCTCCCCGGGCAGCGCGCACGGGTGTATGGCCATGCTCCGGGCTCGGCGCCTCTGGGAGCGGCCCGGGCAGCGGATGCAAAGACCCAGGGAGGAGGATGGGGCTGGGCGCCCTACTTCCCCGAAGCCCAGTTCACTAAATCTTGGGGGGAGGGCAGGGTGACCCAGGGCACAGAGGACTCCGGAGAGGTTAAGGGGCGGAGGCTGGGGGTAATGGGGCTCCCGCCTCATGGCCTCTTGAGGGGGGACTTCTCGATGGGTGCCTGCAGCCCTCGCCCACCTCGCCGGGGAGAGGCAGAAGGGAAGGACCGGCCGGGGAGACCGAATCCGCAGGTCGGGCTCCACGGAGGGCGCCGGGCTCTGGTGGGGGCTTATGGGTCACCTGCGGGGTCGGGGGGGCCCTCGCTCCTTTGCCCAGCTCCCGGTCTGGGGCGCCTCGGGACAGCACCCCCTCCCCCTGACGGCGTCTCGCCCGCCCCGCGCGCCCGCCCGCCTGCCCGCCAGCTCCTGCTCCTGCTCCCCCACCTCGGGCCGGCGCTGGGGGTGTGGCCAGGCCGGCTATAAAGTCCGGGGCGCGGGCTGGGAGCCGCGCAGCCCCCTGCCCCGCCGCCTGCTGGGCCGCGCGAGGATGCGGCGCTGCACCCTGGCCGCCAGGCTTGCTGGACTCAGGCGCGCTCGCTGACCGCGCCGCGTTCCCGCTGGGCGACCCCCGCTCGAATCCTCCGCTCCCGCCTAGTCCGCACCCGCCTCGCCCGGCCATGCTGTCCCTCGGCCTCGTGGCCGCCTTGCTGCTGGCCGCAGGGCCCGCGCCGAGCCTGGGCGACGAGGCCATCCACTGCCCGCCCTGCACTGAGGAGAAGCTGGCGCGCTGCCGCCCCCCCGTGGGCTGCGAGGAGCTAGTGCGCGAGCCGGGCTGCGGCTGTTGCGCCACTTGTGCCCTGGGCTTGGGGATGCCCTGCGGGGTGTACACCCCGCGCTGCGGCTCGGGCCTGCGCTGCTACCCGCCGCGCGGGGTGGAGAGGCCCCTGCGCACGCTGATGCACGGGCAGGGCGTGTGCATGGAGCCCGCGGAGATTGAGGCCATTCAGGACAGCCTGCAGCCCTCCGGTAAGGTGCCCGGCCCTCCCCGGGGGCGACCCCCGCCCTTTCGCCCGGCTGGCGGGGCCCTGAAACTCCCTGTGAGCTGGGGAAGAGCAGGGACGTGGCGATGTCCGCCTGGCGTGGACGGCTCAGCCGTGGAATCCGCGGCTGCTAGTTGCCACCGGCAGGGGAACTTCGTCCCGGCCATCTCCGACCTCCCTTGCAGGCACCGCTTGGAAAGTGCGATGGGCTGGGTGGTCGGGCTGCTGGTGCTAAGGCCGAGCCTCGAACAGCTGAGTCCGCATCCGGGGCCGGAAATCTGGAGGGCGGGGGGTTGGGTGCTTTCTGTTCCTGCCCCCCATTCTGGCTGGAGGTGAAACGCAGGAGTCTGAGGAGCCAGGCTCTGGATTCACCCGTCCTCCATGGATAGGGCTGGGACTCACAGATTGGAGGTGCGCTGGGTGAGGGGTCAGGTTGCCCCTCTGTGCGCATGGCCGCTTCCTCCTCCTTTCAGGTGCAGGACAGATGTCCCATCACCCACCCCGTGCTGCAGAAACCACAGGGGTGTGGAGAGGCGACAGGGACAGGAGAAGGCCTGCACCTTCCCTCCGTGCACTTCACTCTCCCGCAGCACATGTCTCTGTCCCCTTTGTCCTGCGGTTTCCTGCGAGCTGCTCAGCTTTGGATCCCACCCTGACTCTCCCACACCTTCTCCTTTGCTTACTGTCTCTACCTGAGCCCCTCCCACTTCTTCACCCTCAGTTTCTGTCTTTCCCGGCTTTGCCTTTCTGTGTCTCTGGCTCCGTTCTCCTTCTTGTTCCCTGCCTGCTGTGCTCTCTGGGTCTCTCTCCTTCCCTGCTGCCCGAAGCTTCCATTGTTGCTGTCCCAGTGCCCGACTCAGCGGAGCTTCCTGTCCCGGCTGGGACAGAAGGCTGCACTTCCTCAATCTTCTGCAGCCTGTTAGCTGGGGAGAGCAGGATGCTGGAAAACAGGAAGGAGTGGACCCCAGGGGTCTGGGCCCCCGGCCTCTGCCCTTCCTGCCCCTGGGCAGCAGGGATGGCTCAGCAGAAAGCTTTCTAGGAGAGATGCCAGCCTGGCACCGGAAGAGGGCCTAAGGGGAGCGAGACACAGATCCTGGGGCACAGACGCCAGTGGCAGGGAGATGAGCCTTGAGAAGCGAGCCCCTGAGCTCCAGGGGGACAGTGGGGCCACCTCCCCCAAGCAAGGGTTAGGCAGCAGACAGGGTGGCTGCTAGTCTTTTTTGCCACCAACCTCAACAGAAGCAGAAAAACTCTGCCATGTCTTCTCTGCTCAGGCAGGAGCCCAGTATCCCCCAGGAGCTCTGAGACCCTGCCCTGTGGATACAGTACAGACTGGCTACAAAAGGGATCTTGGAATGGTGGGCATTTGATGCCCCACGGGTGACAGAGCCCCTCCGTGTCCCCTCCCCTATCCTCTTTCACCTGGGCCGTGGTGCAGGCATCTGGAAAGGGGAAGCCAGGAGGACTTCCCATGAAGCTCTGCCCATGCCTTCTTCCTTGATAGGCGCTAGAGGCTTCCTCATGCATGGGCCGGCTACACTGCATCATGGGAAAGGCGCCCCTAGAATTGTGCAGTGGCCCTGCAGCATGTCTGGTGGGATAACAGAAGTAGGGCTCAGGTCCCATCCTTACTGACCCTTGTCTGCTTGTCTATCTCTGTAGCACTGCAGATTGGACCCAGGGCTTTCACACTGAACTACATCTCCAGCCCTTTTTCTTTCTTAATTTTTTATTTTGAGGTAGGGTTTTACTAAGCCTCTACATTCAGGCTGGGCTTGAACTTGTGATCCTCCTGCTTCAGTCTTGAAGAGTGGTGGGATTACTGGGCCCACCCTGTGCGCCTCTCACTGTCCTCTTCAACCTTCCACTTTCGGCAGGCCTCCTTTCCTCCCTGTCCCTGGGCTCGATCCGCTGTCCTGGTATAGCTTGGTAGAGTTCAAGCTATTCTTCTGCCTGTCCCTCCAGGGCTGACCCTGAGTGGGTGGCCAGGGCGGAGTGGTCACCTGGCACGTGCCCTCTTTGACCGTTTGCCCTGGGGTGGGCACCCCCTCTCATCTCCACTGTTGGCTGCTCCAGCTGGGGGTGGACCCGTGCGTCAGAGGCGCATGATTGGCAGCGTGGCACTGACCCTCAACTCGGTGGGAACACAGGCTGGGGACAGGGAGTTCCCAAACTGGGTTCGGGGTCTCTCTGGGACAGCATGAGGGAACAGGCAGGCTGGGTTAATTTTTAGTCAATGCAGCAAATATTATCCTCCCGACTTCAGTGCTGGGAATCCAGTCGGGTCCTGGGAACAGGCCCTTCCCAGAAAGCCTGTGCCTTGGGGGAGGGGAGGAGGGGCGTGCACTCAGCATTGTTTCTTCAGTGTGGGCAGAGCCTGGGCTGTCCAAGTCCTTCCGTTTACAGACAAAGGAGCTGGGGGTGCAGTGCAGGGCTGGAGTCGTGGTCAGCGTGCACGAGGCCCTGGGCCGGGCAGTGCAGAGGGTTGCCTGGTCCTGGTACCTTGCTGCTGCCCTCAAGGGATGGATGGGGCCACCTGCCTTAGCAGCAATAGGAGGGGACACCCCTGGAGCAGACTCCTGAGACAGGGCCTTGTACCCCGTGGGAGAGGACCTGGAAGGAGGCAAGGAAAGGCCTTCCTGGCAGGGGGAGTGGGTGACCCTCTGGGGAATGGCAGGCCACCCCGCTCCCAGTCTGTGTGACCATGGGAATCTAAGCTAGAAGGAAGGAGAAGTCTGAGGGGGGAGGCAGGCAGCAGGAACGCTGTACGCTGTGGCCTGATGCCTGCGCCACGCAGCCTCTCCCACTCTGGGTTCCTTGCTGCCTTTATGCCTGGTCGAGCACAGAGCCTGGTCCCCTGGGCAGATGACAGTTGGCCTGGCTCCCAGCTGGGCCACCCTGGAAGCCCTGCCTCCCACTGCAGCTTCCTGGGCTCAGACCTCCCCAGGTGTCTCACTCGAGGTCCTGCTCAGAGGGGATGAGGCACTGGGATGTTGGCAGGGGGCATGGCCCGGGGAACCACCTGGGAGTGTCATGTTTTCAAGAGACCGAGGACTCCAACCTTTACCCTGAACCCACTGCCCCGGGTGGGTCCTGCCAATGAGCCAGGTTGTTGAGGGGAAGTCACAGATTACATGGAAAGTCAGCATAAGTGTCGAGAGCCTGGTGGGCCAGTATGCTGCGCCTTGGGTCAGGGTCGAGTCCGAGTGGGCCATCAGGGGTCAGAGGGTGGGGTGTGCATGTGCCAGTGGCCAGACATCTGCACACCTGTTTATAATTCCTGAGTCCCAGCTGTCTATGGAGGTGGGCAGGCAAGGACTTGGTTCCCTGTGCCTTCAGGTGAGGACAAGGAGCCGCTTTCCAATCTGCTAAATTCAGACATCAGCTAGGGATGGGTGGGCTGCAGGCTCTAGGGCTAGGGAGGCCAGGCAAGCTGTCCGCGTGTGCTGGGCAGCTCTCGGCCTCAGGGACCCCTCGCGCTCAGCAGGCTCCCTCCATTATGGCGAATGTCTCAATATCCTCGAATGACCCTGAGGGTTCATCTTTGTGAGCTTCCCCTTATAGTGAGGTGGGGCTCCCCCTGGACAGCGGGGCTGGGGTTGAGCCTCTGCCCCATCTCTTGCTCACTTCTGTTTTCTTTGGAGATGCGGTCCCACTGTGTGGTCAGGGCTGGCCTTGAGCTTACTGTGGAGCCCAGGCTGGCCTCGAGCTTTGGGCATTGTCCCGTCTCAGCCTCCCGGGTGCCTGTCTACAGCATGTGCTGAGACCCTGCCCTTCCAGGGTGAAAGGCTTCTGACCTCACCTCTTTCCTTAGAGAACTCCGTGATTCTGAGCTCCAGCCTGAACTCCTCTGTGTATCAACAGGAAGTGACAGCGCAGTGGTGGTTTCCTTCATGGTGGTGAACTGAAAGCAGACTCAGGCAGGGGGAAGGCTTTCTAGGTGGGACGGGGCCTTTGGGCTCGTACTCATGTCCTGGTGCCCTCCAGCCTCGTCCAGGTGCAGTAGGGTGGGAAGTATCTGTTCCTCTATGTTCTAACCCAGCACTGCACTGTGACAAAACCTCCCCTCCCCAGGGAATTGCTCATTCCCACTGTTCGCTGTGGGCTGAGTCTGGGAAGATCTAGACCCTGCTCACCTGGCTGCCCTTTATTTCTGTGCCTCATCCACCCCTCCTGAAAGAGAAGAGCCAAGAGGGAACCAACCCCCAGCTTTGGCTTAGCAGAAAAATGCCGTTTGACCCAGAGGCAGCTCTGGGAGCCCTGCCATGTGTGGAGGGACCTGCTAACTCCCCAGGAAAAAAAAAGTCCTGACGCAAAACAGATGTAACCTCCTGTCCGGCTGCCAACATCTGGAATGCTGCTGGCAGGGGCTCTGCGCTCAGGCCTGCAGCGAGTGCCAAGCTGCGCATTTCAGAGGTGGCTCTGATGTCCCCGGCTTAGCCCTGTGTCCATGCTGGCTGTGGAGGGAGGAACAGGGACTTGTGGAGGTCCCTGGAGAGGATGGGGGCCAGCTGCCACTCTGTCGCCAGATGCCTGTAGGGGCTGAGGTCTGCGAGGGGAGTCAGAGGTCCAGGGCTGGGGGATGTGCGTGGCTCTTTGAGTCCCGGGGCCACGCCGCGTGCCATACTCACACGCATGCGCGTGCATCTGCTTCCCAGTTCCAGCGTGTGCACTAAATCCCACCCGGGCTGCGGGGAGAGCCCGTCCCGAGGCAGGACAGGAAGGTCAAGCAGATGTCAAGAAGGATGGGGAGAGGCAGTGAAAGGGGACAAGATCCAGGGGGGCCCGCCCCACCCATGGGCCTCAGACCTCCCTGCAGGGCCCAGGGGACCCTCCTGCAGCCGGTGACTCATTGGAGGGCTGGGTAGGGCGAGGGACAAGCCGAGGACTGCAAGAGGAATGTTCTCCGGAGGAGCTTGGGGCAGTGGGGCGGAGCCAGGCTGCTTTCCCATCGTCCTCCTGTCCCGGGCTCCCTGCTGTGCCTGGTGCCAAGCCGCAGGACCCCTAAAGTGGGAGGTGTCAAGGGTGGGGCGCAAAACCCCCATCCTTCCCAGCCACTGACCTCTCCCCTTCTCTGCCTGCCGCAGACAAGGACGAGGGTGAGCACCCCAACAACAGCTTCAGCCCCTGTGCCGCCCAGGACCGCAGGTGCCTGCAGAAGCACCTGGCTAAGATGCGGGACCGGGCCATCAGCGGGGGCAAGATGAAGGCCGGCGGGGCGCCCCGAGAGGACGCGAGGCCCGTGGTGAGGATGGGGGCGGCGTACACGCATGCGCGCAGACACACACTGCTATGCCTGCATACATGAGCACACACGCAGCCAGCGGGCTCAGTGCTGCTGTGCCGGTGTCCTGGTGGGGGTATATCCGGGAACTAAGGCCTGGGGCTCATAGGTCAGTCACACAGTCCTGTCTCCCTCCCGCCTGGCAGCCCCTGGCCCAGCCTGCGGTTCCCACTGCCCCTCCCCATGCCCTGACTTCACACCCTTTATATCCCCCAAGCCCAAGCCGGCGTCCTCATCCCTGGGCCTAGCCCCTCTGTCCCCACTGAACAGCTGTTCCCCGCCCCAGCCGCAGGGTTCCTGTCAGAGCGAGCTGCACCGGGCCCTGGAGCGGCTGGCTGCCTCACAGGGCCGCACTCATGAGGACCTCTTTGTCATCCCCATCCCCAACTGTGACCGCAATGGCAACTTCCACCCCAAGCAGGTGAGTCCTGCTCCGCGCTGGTCTCTGCTGGATGGTCGGGGGGAGGAGACTTTAGGAAGAGGGGTGTCTCCAACCCTGATCTGACCCCATCTGGTGGAAATGAGGACACGGAGGTCCAGGAAGACCCCAGCTTGCTGAGGGAATTTGTGGCAGTCCCTGCCTCCTGGCCAGGGCAATCTTACTGAATGCATAGATTTATTATTATTATTATTATTATTTATTATTATTATTATTATTATTATTATTATTATTTATTATTATTATTATTATTGAGACAGGGTCTCGCCATGAAGTTCAGGCTGGCTTTGAGCTCATTTTGTAGCCCAGGCTGGTCTCAAACTTGCAATGATCCTTCTGCCTCAGCCTCCCAAGTGCTGGGATTACAGGACTGCGTCACCACACTTGGACACATTATTGGAAAAAAAATTATTAGCAATTGAACTCAGGGCCTTAAGCACTGTCACTAGGCTACACCCTCAGGCTGGCTGTATTTTCTCTTTCTGGAGACTCTGAATTGCTCCAGCTGGCCCTGATCTTGGGATCGTCCTGCTCGGCCTACTGGGAAGCTGCGATTGCAGGCATGCGCCACAAGGCCCGACTCGGCTCTCCCTGTTACCGGCATTGACATCAGTGCGGTACATGGGATGCAGTTGATGAGCCAATACTGATTATTCACCGAAGTCCAGAATGTACACCAGGGTCACTTGTTCCCGTGTTACCTGATCTACGTGGTTCTTATCCCAGTGAAAGTTGTGGTGTTTGGTCCTTTTTGCCCTGACTGAGGCTGGCTCTTGAGCCAGGTTCATTCCTGCTCAAATCCTGGCTCTGAAGATGCACTTGGGCGCTCATGCCAGCTGTCCTCACCTGGTCTTCTGTCTTCTCCCACTGTGAGCCTTGCCCGAGCCAAGGACTCCTGTGCCCCTGCAACACCTGTGGTGTCTGAGTCCAGCTGCATCCTGCTCGTGGCCCTACTTCCCACCCCATTAGGCAGCACCCCACTCCAGCTGGGCTCCCCCCAACCCTTCTGACCCCATGCCCTTGTCCTGGCAGTGTCACCCAGCTCTGGACGGGCAACGTGGCAAGTGCTGGTGCGTGGACCGCAAGACGGGCGTGAAGCTCCCAGGGGGCCTGGAGGCCAAGGGGGAGCTGGACTGCCACCAGCTGGCCGACAGCTTCCGCAAGTGAGCCCAGCCCGGCAGGGGCTCTGTGCCCACTGCCCCAAGCACTGGGGCTGGAGAGTCAGCCCAGAAGTCTCTCTTGGGTGTGCGTGTGTACGTGCGTGCATGTGTGTGTGGACATGAGCGTGCCCAGCGTCCTTTGGGGCTTAGATAGTCCAAGAGGTTCAGGCATGGCAAGGGGATCCCTGAGGTGTTTCCCGCATTGATCTCGGATTCATTCATGTATTCGTTCCCCCACCCCTTCACCTGGAAGCATGTATTGATCACATTCTAGCGCCGGTTCTTGGCTCTGGAAGCTCTTGCCGGCCCCTCTGCTGGTGGCTTGGGAGGCATCGTTGGAGGGCGCAAGAAGGTCTGGCTGAGTGAGAGGAGGAGTGGTCCTCTGGTCGGGCCGGGAGTCGGGGGAGGTGCAAGTGGACAGGGCCTGGCTTCCCCAGCAGACGCCCACCTTCCGGCTGGACTGCCTGGCACCGGGGAGGGTGAGAGGCCAAGGAAGCCTGCAGCACGGGGAGGGGGGGAGGGGCCAGTGGGGAGTCTAGGTTGGCTCTTGTGTGGGCCCTGGGGGCACTGTTTCACTGGGATCCCCCACCCTACTTGTGGCAATCAGAGGAACCCCAACTTCTTAGGGGGCCCCTGCTGTAGCTCTGCCTCCCTCCCCGCTCCTCCCTCCCTTCCATCCCCTGGGCATTTCAGGCTTGGCTGAATGGCAGGTGACTGGGGACCTGCTGGCTGCCTGTGATGTCTTTCTTTCTTTCTTTCTTTCTTTCTTTCTTTCTTTCTTTCTTTCTTTCTTTTTTTAACAAAACAGAACAAAACCAGAAATGTCCAGATCATGTGTTTGTCTGATTTATTTACAGAGGCGCCACAGGGGTGGAGAGAGGTGGGCACTGCGTGGGGCCCAGCTTGGCTGCAGGCAGAGGCTGCAGGCACTAGGCCCCTCGCCTCGCTGTCCACAGAGTCAGGGTTGCTCAGAACCCCTGTGGGGGGTAGGACCAGGCTCTGCTGGGCATTGTACAGCATGCCGGGCAGCTGGCTCCGCATCTGGATTTGGTTTAGTGGAGCTTGGATGGTGGGGGGAGCAGCTGCCTACCTCACGGCAGGGCTGCCAGGATTCCTGACAGGGGTGGGGAGGGGGGGTGCTGCTGTTCTGTGACCCTGAGGCTTTGGGTTGGAGGTGTCATCTCTTTCATGTGGGCTTCGCCTCTGTGTCCCCCTGGCTCCTCTGCCACCAAGCCACATCCTAGCCCTTGTCATTTTTTATTTTGATAGAGTCTCACTGGGTTGCCCAGACTTCGCAATCTCCCTGCCTCAGGCTCCCGAGTAGTTGGAGTTTCAGGCCACTGTGCCTGGCCAGGCTTTGTGCCCCCAGTGATACTCCCCGTGCCACTCCTCCACAGCCTCCAGAGGGGCTGGCAGGCTTTGGTTTCACCGCCCCCAGCACCCCCAGTGCTTGAGCCACCTGTACATTGGGGGTCTGGTCCTGGGGATGCCTTTGGCTCGGTTGGGGCTTTGGGTGGTGGTAACGCAGGGGCCAACTAGGCCCCAGGCCCCAGGGCAGTGCTGGAAGTGTCCCGAAGCCCCTCATGCTGTGCCCGTAGGCCCTCGAGGGAAGCTGTTTCCTCCCACGTGAGCTTGGTGTGTGCCAGGCCCAGAGTTCAGCCCCACCACACGCTTGTACACATATATGCACACACACATCTGCCTGGACCTAGACATGAGTGCCCTACGTGTGCCTCTGTGACCCACGGTGTGCCTGTGTGGTGTGTGCGTGCACACCAGTGTGTGTGTGTGTGTGTGAATGTGCCACAGCGATGCCAGAAGTGCAAGCAGAGGTCGGGGCAACCAGGGGCGCCCACCACCACGTGCGAGCGCAGTCTGGGCACCTGCCCTGGTGCTGTGCACCCCCAGCACGGGAGCCCGCCCGAGTGCGTGTCTGGGAGTGTGTGATGGGAGCCGAGAGCGGTCAAAAGGAGGACATGTGGGTCCAGGCGTGGTGGCGCGGGACTGCAATCCTGGCACTTAGGTGCCTGAGGCAGGAGGATCAGCATGAGTTTGAGGCCAGCCTGGGCTACATAAAGAGTTCAGTGCCAGCCTGAACTGCATAGTGAGACCCCGTGTAAACAAAAAAACAAAAAACGAAACAAAACAAAAAGGGAAAAACTGCACCTAGTCTTCCCTCAGCCGCGAGATGCCGGTGAATGGCTCCTCCAGTTGCTGTTGGGAAGTGGGCACCACCAGCAGCGTGGGAGGAGGTGGCTGGGCCGGACTCCCCTGCCCTGCTGGGTGAGCTCCAAAGAGGGCTGGGGCGGGGGGCTCGCCCTCTGCCGGCTGTGGGTCTGCGTACATTTGGTTTCCATTTGTCTTGCGTTGCTGCCGCTGGGGGCCTGGGCTTCCACGACAGGGTGTGGGTGGGGGAGGCATGGGGGCTCAGGGACGTGGACACACTGCTGGATTAGGTGTCCCCTCACTGAGTTGTTGCTGCTCAGCTGCAGCCAACCTGTGAGAAGCCCGTGTCCCAAGCCCTCTGCCCAGGGGACAGATTCTGCCACCAACTGCTCTGCAAATGTGGGGGAAGAAGGGGCTGCTCACCACCATTCTGGGGGACACACAGCTATGCGGTGGTCTGTGAGATGGCTGGTCCAAAACATCCCCAGCAAGAGGCTCTGGCTTTCTGGACCTGTGATCTGGGTGGGTGGGGCAGTGGTTGGACAGAAGCCGGGAGAAGATGGGGGTCTTCAGGGAGGAGAGCAAGGGATGGGGCCACAGCCGTGGCCAGCAGAGCTTGCTCTGGCTGACCAGGGTCTGAGGAGGTCCTCGCTATCAGAGTAACCTGTCCCCTCTTTGTCCCCTCTAAGCTGGAGGGTCCCCAGAGCTGGGGCAGCTTAAGGTCAGAGAGCAGGAGGGGGGCTGCACCACTGATAATCAGAGCCACAGTGTGCTCTGGGAGCAGGCACCCCGGACCCCAGCGCTCCCTGGGTCAGCCCAGGCTGGGCCGGACCAGACTGGACAAGGATCTGGACAACTTCAGCTGGCCAGGGGAGGGGCGGAGGCCAGGCGTGTGACAGGAGTGGCTTCCTAGGCTGTACACAGCTCTAAAGTGCAAACAACATATTTTCACCATGCAGTGGTATTTAATTACACATAAAAACAGAGCCATTAAACTGAAATTAAACCCTTGTTGGAATCACTTAATTCAAGGCATGACAAATTGCTTTCAGTAGAGGCGGCCTCTGTCCCCAGGGGTGGGGTGTGGAGAAGACAGAGATTAGTGGCTTCCATGGCTGGCTGGCCGGGTCTCCTCTTTCAGCCTTCTTTGTGAACCCTAAGTTCTCTAATGGAGGCCAGAACCCTCTTCCTGGGGACCACCAGGGCCAGAGACACCACCAGGCAGCAGAAGCATGGAATTGGTATTACCCAGGCCATTTTCTTGATGGGGACGTTGAGGCCCGGATGCCAGGGTGGTCCCTGACAGGATGAGGGTGGAGGGAAGCAGCCTGCTCTTCCGCCTTCCTTTTCCTCTTGTCCTGGCCAGGCCTGGGTCAGAGCCCCTGTCACCCCAGGGGCTGGCAGCTCCTAGAGCAGATGGTTCCCCGGCCAGCCTAGCAGCTGCTCAAACACCACACAGCTGAGTCGCTATCTGTACCCCAAGAGCCCTGAGACACCCCCAGAGGCCAGATGGGCAGCCCCAGGCCACGGCAGCTGCCCGTGCACCATGGTCGCCAAGGGAGGGGGGTGACTTGGAACATGATGCTCTGGAAACAGGTGTCACCATTCCTGGGAGACAGGGCTGCCAGAGGGAGGCCAGCCGGGGCCAGCTGGGGAGCAGCGCTGACCCAGGGCTCAGGGTCTCCACCTCCCTTCCGGCTCTTGATGGGGGGCGGAATGAGAGCCAACCGCTCAGGAAATCGGCACAATTTCCAGCTTCATCGAAGGTCAGTTGGACAATAGAGCCACCCCCAAGCAAAACCAACAAGAAGGAGTTCCACTGCCTGTGGCCAAGCTGTTTCCCAACTTTGTCTCTCAGCTGTGGTTCAAGGCTGCTCGTTCAAAGTGACATGTGACTGTGCAGTGACTCAGGCCTGGACATGGTGGCATGAGGGGACAGGCCAGGCCAGCATGCAGCCTGTGCATCTACTGCTCAATGCCCCCGGGGTCGTTTCTGGGGACCACCGAGGCCTGAGGAACACCTCTGGGCAGTCCCAGTCACCAGTGTCAAAGCCAGTGTGAGATTAGATTCCAGTTCCTAAACCCCAAGCAGCAGGTCCCCCGGGCTGTGCTTGCCTGGCAAGTGCAAGGCCCTGAGTTCAATCCCCGGTTCCACCAAAAAAAAAAAAAAAAAAAAAAAAAAAGGGAACCTTTTGAAAATGTAACCAGGTGTGGTGGTACATGCCTATAATCTCAGCACTCAGGAAGTTGAGGCAGGAGGATCACTGCGAGTTCAAGACCAGCCTGGGGGGTATAGAAGTGAGCACAAGGCCATCCCAAACTGCATGGGGAGACACTGTCTAGAAAGAAAGAAAGAAAGAAAGAAAGAAAGAAAGAAAGAAAGAAAGAAAGAAAGAGAGACAGAGAGAGAGAAAGAAAATCTGCCTTCTTTTTTTAGTGGGAAAATTTTTGTGTGTGTGTCACCTCTGAGTGGGGACAGTCCTGGGGCTGTGAGAAGGGAGAAGGCCCCACAGGCTGGAGAAGTGCCTGTCTGTGCAGGTGGTGGCCTGGAAGGGGACCTGGGCATCTCCTCTGCCTGAGCCCCCAGTGAGGACCCAGCCTTAGGCGGCCTGGGATTTGTCCGTCTTGAGGGCAGAGCCGAGCTGGGCATGGGGCCAGGTCAGAGGCTGGGGCAGCATTGTCACCCAACATCTCTCAGGAGGCTGGGCTGGGGGGTCGTGGACTCTCACAGAAGGGTCACTTGGCAGCGGAGAGATGGGGTTTGTTAGGGCCTGGAAGAAGGATGAGCCATGGCCCTTGGGGAGGGCCACTGAGGGACCACTGAGGCTTGGGGGACCCCTCTGGGCAGTCCCAGCCACCAGTGTCAAAGCCAGTGTGAGATTAGAGATTGCAATTCTTTTTTTTTTTTTTTAATTTTTTTTCCATTTATTTATTTATTGTGTGTGTGTGTGTGCGTGTGTGCGTGTGTGTGGCCAGCTCAGCCCACCAGGGGGCGGGGCTGGCTGGCATGTGGTGCTGGGGGATCGAACCGTGGTTCCTGTGCTTTGCCAAGCTTGTTCCAAGTAGGTGCTTTAGACCACTGAGCCATCTCGCCAGCCCCGAGATTGCAATTCTTAAACCCCAGGCAGCAGGGTATACCAGGGGCCACAAACCCAGGTGCTGAGCAAGATTTGTATGCCAGCTCCAGGGGCACAGAAAGGCAGTGGAAAGGGTCTTGCCGTGAGCCTGCATTTCCTGTAAATTTCCTTCAGCTCTTTGATTATGACTCATGCCAACCCCAGGGCCTTTGCACATGCAGGTCCCCCGAATCACTCTTGCCCCTACCCCGATGTCAGCTCCTTCGAGGGCTCCCCGCTGGCCCTCCCAGGTAGAATGTCTCCCTCCATGTTGCTCCCTTCCACACTTGTTTCTTGCATCATGTGATTAGGCTTACCTATTATTTTCTCTGTTTTCATTTAATGCGCGTGCACCTCCTAAGCTGGCACATGCATGGGTGAATGAATGAGGACAGTGGCCTCTCCCCACAGGCCCGTGTCCTTTCCCTGCTCCTGGCCGTAGCCACTCACCTCCTCTCTTCCTGTCCTGCCCCTGCTTTCCTAAGGACAGCTCTGGTGGCAGGAAGAGCCTCTGGAGACAGGAAGTCTTAGGGAGACAAGAGGTCGGTGGTTGGCCACTCTGGGGGACAGGAGACTGCAGGGCGCATGTGCTCACTTCCAGGTAGAAAGGGGGATGAGGGAGTGACTTTTCCAGGGTCCTGGGCAGCCCAGGATTAGGGACTGAGTGGGGGAGGGGACTTAGTCCCTACTGGGGCAAGAGGCAGGGGAAGTAGACAACCCCACTCCTATTCCCAATTCCCCGGATGCTGGGACTGGTCCTGTGGCCTCAGCCCTCCTCCTGATTGGGCGCATGCCATGTGGGTGCAAATCCTACTGTGACATTCATGATGTCGCTTGCAGAAAGCTCACTAAGGTTTGACTCCACGGTCCACTGAAGTCCCAGGGACTTGAGGAGCACAGCCCAGGTGTGGAAAGCAACATGGTGAAGCTTCTAGCAGAGACGACTGGGCGCTGTGTGTAGAGGGGACCATAGAAGCCTAGCCATTGTGGGTACAGCATGTGACAGGTCCCGCCGGCTGGCTGGGTGCCAGGCGGGGAGCCATGCCTGCTGTCACCCCATTCTTCTGCCTACTGGGTGGCAGGGTTGGGCAGAAGATGAGGCTCTGTTCCCTGAGGCCCCAGGACAGGGTAGCAAGGTGGGGATCTCCCTGGTGCAGGCCCTATGCAGAGGGGGCTATGGATCTAGGAACTATGTCTCCAAACTTCACTGAGCCCCCATGTGACTGTGTTTACGAGACAAGGAGTTTTACAGGTAACTGAGGTTAAGTTAGGCCCTAAAGGTGGAGTCCTAACACAATTGGATTGCTGGCTTTAAAGGAGAGGAGAGTGGCTTCAGGGATGCTGAGGCAGGAGGGTCTTGAGTGCAAGGCTGGCCGGGGACTTATGAGTTCAAACCAGGCACACATACACACTGAGGCTCCCATGTAAGAAGGGATGTGGGTCCAGAGCACGCAGGCTCCTCACAGCCCGCAAGAAGCCAGCATCCCCCTCCTGTGCCTCGACTTCCTGTTCACACACCGTGTCCTTTCCAACTCCCCATCCCACCCCTCTCCCCCAGCCCAGGCCTCAGATCCCTGCTCCCTCCCGCTGAGAAGTGCTGCTCTTGGCCTCTGGTTTCTCTTCCTGCTCAGCCTGACTGCATGAACAGGGGCATCAGGTGCTGATTGGAACCTGGAGCCTCCGCCCCCTGCCCTGGCACTGAGCCCGAAGCTGGGTGGGTGGCACAGGGTGAAGGCCCAGAGGAGGACACAGGTGCAGAACTAGATGTGGGTGGGTGGGGCTGATGCCATGGGACAGAGTCCAGTCAGAGGGCACGGAGTGAGAGGTCACTGTCCCCCCGCTGGACGAGGCAGGGTGAGGGGTGCGGCAGCAGGTTCCCCAGGACCAGTGGGAGGGAATCGGGTGGCGACGTGGATTCTGCAGCCCAGCACCACTCGGTGACCTTCTTGTGCATGTCCCGCAGCCGCAGGGCCCAGAAGGGGCATGGCCTGGGACAGGTGAGGGGCGGGAGCACAGCCAGCTGGCAGGAGCGGGAGAACCAGAGGCCCAGGGTACCTTCTCTGTAGCAGGCCGGGGCCAGTGGCTCGGGTTACCAGGGTTCAGGGAATCTTCATACGCCGCCGCCGAGCAGCTCTGGCAACCCCGGCCTGTCCTGACCCCTCAGGGAGACACGACGGAGGCACTGCTCCTGCTGCTGGGTGACACACACTCCCCCTGGGCTGGAAGCTCAGCCCTTTCCTTGGCAGAGGCAGGGCTTGGGGACGGCATAGTATAAGTGGCTTGACACAGGATCCAGGTACTGCCTTCTTGGAGACAGGTCACCCCTAAAGTAGGTCCTCTCTTGGGTCTGGGGACATAGTCCTGTGGGCCTTGGGGTGAGCCACTGTGCCATGACAGACACTTTATTCTGGTGAAGGGAGTGACAGGCACATACGGGACAGCAGATGGTGCCAGCCCCACCTCTGGGCCAGTGCCGGGAGGCCCCGATAGCCCGGGCTCGAACTGTTCTGCAGACTCCAGCCCCGCATTCTCGTCTCACGTGTGGGCTGAAATCACAGCTACCAGGCCCGACGGCGGCCAAAGAGGCTCACAGGCGCACACCTCCCCGCCGACCCCTGTGCCGCTTTCTCAGGAGCCCACGTCTGCGGCCTCTCAGGCTTCCTTCTCCCGCCGGGAAGGGGCAGAAAAACCGAACCTCTTCCAAGTCCCAGGCAAGCGGCCTCTTTGCATTCTTGACTCTCTGCTGCCTCCTGGTGGCTGTGAGGCCGGCGCGGGCCGCCGGGCTAGAGGGGGTGGTGGGAAGAGTCCACCCCTGGGTGTGTGGGTGTTGGGGAGGGGACACAGCCGGGCCAAATTGCATTTCAACTGTAGCCAGACCCCTCAGAGCTGTCCTAGATCCCCAGGGTCTCCGCCGCCCCTCCTCCTTGGGGACAGTGACAACAGCTGCATAGGTGGATCCAGAAGGCCACTGTTCACATCAGGAAGGCAGGATGGGGACAGACACAGAGGCAAACGCAGTCTGCACCCGGGCCTCGCTCACGCCTCACCAGCCTCAGGGCGGGAGCCCAGGCCGCACACTACTGCCCCTGCCCGACTGTGGCACAGGTGCTGGGTGCTGCCGCCCGCAGGAGCTTCGAGGCTTCGGCCTGCTGGGGTCCAGGCACCTGGGACAGGGCAGGGCACAGCCCGGCCTGCCCAACACATCTACATCCGCTCGGCCTCCCGCAGCAGTGCGGTCACCAGGCCTATGACCTGCGAGGCCGGCTGCACCGCATCATACTCCGCGAAGAGGTGACACACATTCTCTGGCGGCTCTGTCTGGTTCTTGGCAACAAAACCAAAGATCCTGGAGAGGGAAAGGGCAGGTGTGGGTGGGGCAGGGGACTTGGGGTGCCAGGCCCGCCCCTGCCACGGGCACTGACAGACACCTTCCTATGACCGAGCTTCCCATGCACAGGCACGAAGGAGCCACCTCCCCACCAGACCCGTGAGCCCCAAGTCCAAGCTCTGGGTCTCCTCTGTTTCGCATGGGAATCAATCCTGACGACAGAGGTGGACCCTGAAAAGGAGGCTGCCGACTCTCGAGGCCAAGATTCCCCAGTAGAGCCCGTGTCTCGCAGGAGCCTGAGGGTTTCCCCTCAGACAGGGCGCTCCCTGAGGACAGAGCCTGTGTTTCCATCGGCGCCTTGGCCTCAGATACTGCAGTCCTGGGGATTAAAATCAGGGCCTTCTCCCTGAATTATCTCGCCACTCCTCTTTTTATTGCTTATTTTGGTTCAAGGTCTCACTATATTGCCCAGGCAGGGCTCCAACTTGGAATCCCCCTGCCTCAGCCTCCCAGAGTGCTGGGAGGACAGGTGTGCACTGGACACCCTGACTCAACCTCCCCAGTGTGTCACACTCTTGGGGCAGGGCGGTGCCGCCTTCTGTAGGGTCTGGTGCCTCACCCCAAGGACTACTCCTAGCGTGGTAGACAGGGGTGTAGACAGGGGTGTGGGGGGACGGGCCTTACCGGGAAGGCTTACAGTATTTCTGCCACCTGTGGAAGGAACGTGCATATCCTGAATAACAGAACTCCTCTCCACCCTGCAGAACCCTGCCTGAGGTGCCCCACCAGCCCTCCTCTTTCCCTGGGTCTGCCTGCCATCTAGGTCCCAGAACCCAGGGCGCTGTGGAGAGTACTGAAGCTGCCGGGGTCTCCCTCCTTGCTTGCACTTACTTCCGCTGCTCCGGATCTGGGCCGCAGAAACGCAGGGTGCTGAGTGGGTAGTGGCGCCGGAAGAAGACCCTGGTGGAGGCAGGGAGAGCAGGGCATGGTGAGCTCTTTCTGCAGCCAGTGTCTCCAGGTCCCTAAAGCCCAAATGGCCTGTCCTCTGTGGGACCCTCGTGGCCTCTGGGCCACTATCTGCCTCCCCATGTGCGGCCCTTACTTCCTCTGGACATCGGTCAGCGTGATGCCCTGCTCGGTGACTCCGAAGTGGACCACAGTGGGTGTGGGGAGGACGTCCTGCTCCAAGGTGGCCGAGAGGGCCTTCTGCACAGCCAGAGCCCCGCTCAGGGTCTCCACGCTCACGGAGCTCAGGTACAGGGTGCGGCAGCCTGTGGGCCCAGGTGTTATGCTGGGGCACTGGAGGGGCTGACCGACCCCGCCCTGCCAGGGACCGCCGGACACCTTCTTCAGGGTCTGAGGGGGGTGGAGAGGGGTGCGGGCGACGCCCCCTTGGCACCCTCCTGGCCTCCAGGGTAGGACAGCCCGGGGGTGACAGTGCTTTGAGTGGATGGACGTCTTCAGTAGGGGCTGTGGCTGTCCCCACTCTCACCTCCACCCTTGGTGATACGGGACAAAAGACAGGATGGAGGCGTGCTGACCTCTGCCTGGCTTTTGAGCTCTAGCCCTCTAAGGAGCCTTCCTGCAAGCAGGCAGGTAGGAGGGGCGGGGATCCCCAAGCCTGGGGTAGGGTGGGGCGAGAGGCACACACACTGTCAAGCCACGAGGAAACTGCGGGGCCTGTGTGTGCATGTGCCGGCGCAGCGCTGGGCACCCCCTTAATACTCACCTGCAGATTTCTTCAGGCAGCCTGGGCTGTCTGTGGGGAGCTCTGTGGTCCCGTCTGCTGCTCCCAGCTCTGAACCAAGGGGAAGGAACAGGCCCCCAAGGGGTGGGCAGGGTGAGGGGAGCCCTCAGGGCCCCTGAACCATCTCCCAATACCTGCCCCCAGAAAGTGAGAAGACAGGTGTGGGGAGTGGGGGGGGAGGTGGGGGAAAGGGACTGTGATTATGTAAATGAGGGACACTCAGGGGGTCCCCAAGGGTCAGGCCTGCAGGCCTTGGGTCCCATGCTCCTCCCTGCCCTCCAGGTCCCACTTGGAATGTGGCCTTGACCTTGACCTCTCAGACTCTTGACCCTCCCACTTCCTTCTGACTCCATCCCAACTCCTGTTTCCTCTTTTGTTTTTTATTTTTAGTACCGGGGATCAAACTCAGGACCTTGCGCTTGCCAGGTAGGCTCTTACACTGCTGAGCCATCTCCCCAAGAGGCTCCTCTTTGCAGGAGGTGGGGACCCTCTCACTATGTCTTACCTGGGGCTCTCTGGCCCTGAGTCCTCTTCCAGCAACCCCTCTTTTCTAGTTGTCTTATGCCATCCTAAAATGACCCTTCCCTCTGGGCTGTGCACGGGGTGAGCTTGCTAACCCCAGCCCAGTCTCACTCTTTGCGCCCCTGGGGTGGGGGTGAGGCGTGAATACAGGGAGTGCACAAGAAGTGTGGGACCTGGCTAGCTGGGCACAGCTGTGTAATCCTTGCACTTGGGAGGCTGAGGCAGGAGGACTGCTGGGAGTTGCGGCAGTGAGTTTGAGACCAGGTGCTTTCTTAAAAATTTATTTTTATTTTATTGAGACAGGGTCTCCCTATGTAGTCCAGGCTGGCCTCAACCTCACATCCACCCTCCTGCCTCAGCCTCCTGAGTGCTGAGGTTACAGTCGTGCACTCCAAGGGGCGCGTCTAACTGAAATCCTAAAATAATCCACAGACTGACCAGGCAGAAGACCTACCTCGCTGCGGGATGGTGAGGGCGCAGGGCAGTGCCAGGGCCATGACGGAGTGCTGACACACGAAAGCAGAGAGGCTTCCTGCGAGGGAACACGCACTTGTGTGAGGAGGGCCTTCCCAGCAGCCCGCACCCCAGAAGGTGCAGGGCCCCATCTCAAGGACCTGGAGGCTGGGGGATGCTCACCAAAGTAGGGCTCCTCATCTGCTCCTTTGAGGTGCACCCCTTTGGCAGAAGACTCGATAAGGAAGTGGCGTATGAGGTCACTGCTGTCCTCGCCTGCAGAAGACAAAATGCACATGCTGTTGGGGAGAAATAGTGCATGCGTGCAAGGGGGACCAAGCTTACACTCAGAGAAAGCGCAGTACCGAGGAGACTGCGCATGCGTGCAGAGGACATCTCGCAAGCAAGCGCGCAGAAGGGAACGAATGCAGGGGTGCCGAGGAGACGGCGCGCGTGCAGGGAGGGGAAGGGTCGCGTGCGCTCTGGCTGGCTCCTCCCTGCTCTCCATCCTCTGCCGAGTGCTTCACAGGGCTTGAGCCACCTGTGCACATCCTGCGGCCACTCGAGGCACCAGCGAATTTGCCCAAGGGCTTCTGGGTCCCTTTACCCCCTTAGGAAAACTTTCTTCTGGTGTGAGTTATCAGGGATTGTTTGTAATTACCCTGCAGACCAAATACCAGCTCTTCCAATGGCACCTATCTCCTCCCACCTCTTCCTTGGCGCTGGTGTTTTCCACCAGCTCGGAAACAAGCTGGCCCTGCCCCCTCCCCTGCCGTCCGTCCACATCCTCTTCCTTGGACTCCCTCATGGCCCACCCCAGGCCGCTCCCTCATCTCTGCCTCTGGGGGCAGAGCACAGGCTGGGGATGCACCCACGCTTGCTCCCTTATGCAGACACTCTGAGGGCCAGTGCCACCGTCGGTTATAGGAGAAGCGCAGTCCTAGGACGTCTGGGGGGCACCAGGTGCTTGTGCTGAGTATCGCTTTCCATCTACCTCCCCAGAGGGGTGCTGCCCGGGTGCAGCCCTGATTCCTTAGTTTCTTACCCAGAGCTCAGGACAGGGAGAGACCCGTAGACATGTGTGGAGTGTGTGTAAAATATCACACACGTGTGCTAAGCGATTAAGCACATGCTACAATGCACAGGACATGCTATGGCATACACCTGATAAGCTGTCAGTGCAATGGGCGGGCTCTCTTGCACGCTAAAAGCCATCGTGTAATGGCTGAGTTATCACAGCTACTTACTAGATAAACTGCCCCATAGGTGATAAGGAGTGCGCACCCTCATTACTACATCGGGCGGCCCCGAGATGAGCGATGAGCATAGTGTGCACAGAGGGGGGGGTACAAGGAGAGAGCGGCCTGAACAGGGGTCAGGACCTGCAGGGAAAGGTGCCTTCCACGGTGTCTCAGAGCTGCTGGGGGCTGCCCAGGAGGGGACCGTCCTCCCAGGAGTGGCCACAGGACTGGCGTGGGGACGTCCTCTGCGCCAACACCTGCAGTCTGCAGGAGCCCAGGAGGGACAAGACTGGTGTGTACCTGATCGGTGCTGGGCGGATGCAGGGGCTTCCTGGACCTTCAGGGCCAGGCCGAAGGAGCCTCGGTAGGAGGAACTGTCCCTGATGACAAAGGCCCCCGGCTCCTCCTTCCTCAGCAGCTCGATTGCTGGAATGATCCTTGGGTCAGACGCAGATCCCACTTCACAGGGGCTCTCCCTCCCTGGCCCTACATGGGGTCTCCATGAAGCAGCATCATAGCACGACCTTTCAAGCCAGGAGGTCTTTCTAGTGTCTTTATCTGCCATTTTTGCTGTGTTTGTTTCCTGGAGAGGCAGGTAGGCCAATCCCTTCCCTGGGCCACTTGCCACCTCCGCCCTCTCTGGCCATGACCTAACATAGGCTCTCTTTACCTTGCTCTCGAGTGATGCTCGGCTTAAACCAGTATTTCGATGTATCCATCACAAACTTCATGGTGGGTTGTGTGTCCCTGCTAGGACCTACAGACAGACAGACAAGGGGAACAGAGTAGGCTGAACTGGAGTTTGCTGGAAGGTGACCACTAGAGAAGGCTGGGGACCCCACCCTGTTCCTCTGCCCAGAGGCCCCGGTCCACCCAGTGTCCCTGATCAGAAGCCAGTGTTAGCTCTAGACTGCCCGAAGAGACAAAGCCAGACAGGACTCCAAGACTTGGCACATCTGGGACCCAGAAGTCTCCTAGTATCCCTGGTAATGAATCGAAAACAGATAACAAACCTACTGTCACCGGGCGGAGGGACTGGAATGGGGATGGAGGATTCCCTGCACCTGTAAGGCCTCACACTCTCCTCCCCCTTAAGCCTAAGAGTTCCGTAGGGGGCATGTCTGCTCGCAAAAGAAAACAAGACAAAAGGTGAAGGGGGGAAGACAGAGGTTGGAAGAGCTGCACTAAGAAACCAGGCGCCTAGATTCCTGATTTCGTCACAGATATTCAGCACCTAAAGCCCAGAGGGCACCAAGCAGGCTCCACAATCCCAAGGGTCTTTAATGCCCCAGATCGTAGGAAATGAAAAGGAAATTTGCAGAATGTGCTAAGCTCCTGGGGCACAATTAGTGATATCCGGAAGCATCCACAAAGCAGGCTGGCAGTATCACCTGAGAAGCCACAGCCCCCGTGGTCCCATGTCCCTAAGGCAGTGAGCAGTGGTTCTCAATTTTGACATCACAGGAAGGTGTCTGTGGCCCTTCACTAGAAAGAACACTGCACCTCAGCCTGCAAACAGCTGGCAGGTGGGAGCAGACAGGAAGGAGTCCCCAGCGCCCTGCTCTCCTGCGTGCCTTGACCCGCATCTCTGGCCCCAAGTCACCCTGGAGTCCCCAAGAAGCGGCCGGCCTGGGGAGGGGCCGAGTCCCGGCCTCTGCTGTGGGAGGCATGCATTGGCGATGGTGTTTACTGTTGTGGGGTCCGTGAACTGTGTGCTTTTGCGCGTCTGCAGCCCCAGGCTCCGGGAAGGGGAGTGTTTGCCACTTTGTGGTTTGGGGCTCTCTGGCTTGGAACACACTGCCTCCCTTCCCCTGCGCACCCCCTCTGTGTTCTCGTCATCCTCGGACGTCAGAGCGAGGACCCAGGCTCCCCTGGGCCGTCCTCGGGTTCGTCACAGAGCCTACCGCTTCCTCATCTGGAGGGCGCCTGGCTCCTTCCACCCTGCCCCTCTCAGCCTGTAATGGCCTCCTCCCTGGCTGGGGCCTCTGATCCCTTTTGCCCCAAGGGTGAAATCCACTTTTTGGCTTGGCGCTCAAGGCCTTTTATTGTCTGGATCCAGATTACTTCTCAGGGACCTTTTCTTACACCCAGTATTTTGGGAGCATTTCCTAAATACGCTGAAACTTGTACCCAGGCATGACTGTGGGGTCCTGCACCTCCACCTCTGAGCTTTTCCTGCCCTGTGTGGGTCTCGGTTTTGGCCCATCTGTGTCCTGACAACCTGGCACAGTGCCCAGCACACAGTAGGTGCCCAACACGTGTCGGCTGGCTGCTGCTGAGTCTCCTTCCCTTACCCAAATCTTCCATTGCTTGATGATCGGTTTACAACGTACCTTCTGGGGCCACGCCTGGGATGGTGTCCGGCAGGGTCTGGCTGCGGTTTTTGGTGGTCAGGCAGGGGTGCCTGGGAGAAGCTGCTCCAGCCTGGTGTCCTGGTGTCTGCTGGGGTGGGGGAGACTGAGATTCGGGGCAGCCATTGATCAGCACGATGGGGATGTCCACCATGGAGTTGGCGATGGATGGGGGACAACTGCTGGCATGCTCCATGGCCAGCAGAGGGGAGTGGGCCATGCTGGGCTGCACCACACTTGGGGCAGGGTAGCTGGGGCCCTGGACATCACCAGGTCTCGTGCACGGGGACACGGGCCCAAGGCTGTGGAGGCTGGAGGAAGAGCTGGCGGGGCTTTCGGAGGACCGTGATGACAGCTGGTGGCTGGAGCTGCTGGAGTGGAGGAGAGACTGGCCGCTGTCGGGGAGAGAGGAGGGACGTGGCTTAGGGTCCGGGGGCCCCGGGGCTGGAGCCAGGGGCAGGCCCCGTGGATACTCAAGGATGGAGAAATGTCCCTGGCCTGCAAGGTCTTTGGTCGTTTAGAGAGGTCAGGGGTGCCGACCTGCGGGATTCCCTCTGCCTTTCTGGCCAGAGCAGGGGCTCTGTCTGTCCTGCTTCTTGCTGCCAAGAGCCCTGTGGGCAGGTGGACCTGGATGGACAATGGGCCCAAGGCGGGAGCCTGGCAGGAAATGAGGAGGAAGGGAAGAGGCAGGCTGTGCGCAGGACTGGGGCCTGGCTGGGGATGCCCATGCTTTGCTCTCATGCATGGTGCCCGTGTGAGGGTGTCCTGGGGCAGGGCAGGTGGGGTGCAATCCAGTTGTGGAATGGTGGTGAGTGGTGAGCAATGGTTTATGCCAGGGCCGAAGGGAGACAGGTGAGCCTCGCAAACGTGGCAGCTCTGTTGCCTGGGAAAACGTGGGCCAAGACTCTGTCCTTACGTCCTAGACGCTCATGTTCACATCTGTTAGCTTCCTGCATTCTCTGACTCTACTCAGGCAGAATGGGTGCCCACTGTGATGCTAAGGGTACTGTGGAGGCAGGGTCACAGTGACGGAACGCACCTTCCAAACATGTAGCTGACATCGGAAGCCGGGCTGCCTGACAGCACAGAGACCCTGCTGCCCCGCTGGGGGGTGAGGGCCCTCGGCCCCTTCTCCAGGCCCGGCGTGGCAGGCAGTGGGGAGCCAAAGCCCTGTGGGCCCGAGGCTCTGACCCCTGCACAGGGGATGGCGATGCTGGGTGAGGAACCCCTCCCCTGGCTGCCGGAGAAGATGAGGCTCTCAGAACTGCTGCGTGTCTCCCGGGGGACATCCCTGCAGAAGAGGAGGCCGCCCCTGCGTGGGGAGCCAAAGGGTGGGGTGACAGATGGGCTGGAGCAGCGTGGGACACCCTCTCGGCACCTCGGTCTGGAAGACGTCACTTCGATATACTTGATGTCTTTGGGGAGAGAGGCAGAGTGCTGGTTAGCCCGGGAGGGACACTCGGAGAAAGACCCTCGAGAACAGAGGCCTCCCCTTTTATACAGACAAGGTCCGGGCAGGAGACCAGCATCCAGTGCCATCTTCAGGGCCTGGCTCTAAAGGCAACATGTCAGGGACATCATTCCTGGATGCGGGATGTCCTTGGCTCAGGGATGTGGCTGTGCCACACATGATCTGGGAACTTGGCCAGGTGCCTCGGTCACTTGGAGCCTCAGTGTCCACCCCTTGGCGTCACAGGAAGGTGAGATGGGATTGCTCGGGGGGCAGTGCTGCGCCTGGCACACAGAGGTGCTTAACAACTGGAGGGTCCTCTGTCTTTCCACCATGCCTGTCACCCAGGACGCCCCAAGACTGCCTCCCATCTGCACCCCCAGTGAGATGGGCCTTGCACGCCTAGAACCTCACAATGGGCCTCTAAAAGTCTCAGTGCCCCAGCTGCACCCCATGCTGGCTGGATCAGAACCCACAGGGACCCCTGGCTTCCATTTGGATAGATCGTTGGCGTGTTTCTTTGGTTTCACAGGTAATGTCTATGCACAGGAGTCTCCACGCTCCAGCCGATGTTCTCACTATGTCATGGTCCCTGGGACGGGTCCCCAGGACGGGGAGCGCCAGGCTGCACCCCAGGCCGAGGGCCCTGTGCGGGCAGTAGTTGGAACATCTGAGGGTCCCCTGAGCTCTTCGGAGCAGACAGTGAGCAACCAGCCTCCGCAGCTGCTGTGGCCTGCTGGGCCCTTGCAGTCACAGCCCCCACCCCCACCCCACCCCACCTAGAAGCCACGCATCCCCAGCCTGCCCGGCCGCCTGGGCTGGGCTCCTGGCCAGCTTGCCAAGTGGCTGCCTCTGTCTGGGCCTGTTGGGCCGGCGAAAGTGGGGAGGGCATGGGGTGAGCCGGCTCTGGCCTGGGCTTGCTGCCCCTGGGGCTGGAGGGAGGAGGACCCGGGTCCAAGTCCCAGCTTTGCCACCTTTCCTTCCCTGCCAGGAAGCAGGGGGTAAATGTCTCAACCTCAGGTGAGCCTCAGTTTCTGCAAAGTGCAGCTCTCAATCCCAACTCAGAACAACAAGGCACTCAGTGGCGGAGGCTGGGGCACAGAACCTGGAGCTGGGCCCCTGGCGGGGCTCAAGAGAGGAGCCTGCTTTGGTGCCACCCTGGGCACGGTGGTGGATGCCCTCCTGCCCCACAGGATGCAGCCACAGAGTGCTGGGAGAGTGCTCAGAGCAGGTGGCTCTCCGCAAGGCTGGCAGGCGCCACTGCCACTTTTATGGGACTTGGTAATGTTTATTCCACTTCTACCTTTGGACCTCGGAGAGCCCTGGAGCAGGACAGGCATTTGTATTTACAGGGGAGGAAACTGAGGCTGGGAAGGAAGGGGAGGCGGAGTGAGACCATACAATGACTGTCAGTGAAGGTGGTATTTGGGTGCCACAAGCCAGTGGGGCTGCGGACAGGGGAGTGTGGGTCTCACCCACCCCTTAGAGCCCTGCTCCAGTAGGAAACGGTGTTTATGCTCCAGACCAAAGGGAGCCGGGACTCAGGAAGGTGAAGCGAGTCCTCCAGTGCCACACAGCCAGAGTCAGTGGTTTAGCCCCATTTAGGGACCTCTTTGGGGAGGAAGAGGGGACCTTTTGGGGTCCTGTTCCAAGGCCTTGTCCTGGGAGAAGGTGCCAAACTGCTCTGAGAGGGGTCCCTCTTGGTCTGGTGAGGCTCTGGCCCCCCACTTCCTGGGCCACCCCAACACCCCAGCTAAGTGCCTACCCCAGGGCTGAGTGGGAAGGGAGGAGGAGCCTGGTGTTAATGAGTCACCTAGGTGGACCGTGGGCCCTGGGGTGCAGCCGCTGTTTATGGGCAGGCGGGAAGGCAAGTCTGGGCAGGGAAGGGTGGCTGCGGCAGGAGGCACGTGGGTGGGGCGGACTGCCGGTTTCTAAACACCCTGCCCTTGGGGCTGGCGGGCAGGCTGGCCTGGCAGCAAGGCTGCAGAATGAATCTGGGCCTGTGCTGAAGATGGGCCGGGAGGTCTGGGAGAGCAGAGTGGGGATGCCAAGTTTGTTCCCTGGGGCCAGGGACTCTACCCGGCAGGCCTAAGGGAATCAGGGACTCGCCAGCCACTGGGAGGCTGAGGCTCAGGATGGCACTCCGGGGCCTCCAAAGATCCACCATGTGAACCCCAGGGGGCAGAAGACAAGCTCCACTGAAGAGAGATGGGACAGGAGCTGTGGAGCCCAGAAACAGGGCTTCGAGGCCCGACCCACCTTGCTCACGGGGGCCGTGTGGCTGTGGGCTCTGCTTCCCTCCCATAGCCTCAGTTTCCTTACTGTATGACGTTTAGCCCTTAAACTTGGCCAAGTTAGGAAGAGAACAGTGACCATCTGTCCCCTTCAGACTGGCCTGGGGACTGTGTCACCAGTAAGGCAGTGGTCTGCTACTCTGAGTGGTGGCGGAGAAATCTCTCCAGGGAGGCCGACTTGGCTGGGCCAGCTTGGTAGGTAGTGAGCTCCGGGGCAGGAGAGGTATCTAAGCAGGGCAGGAGGAAGGTGTTTCCCCTCATCATCAGGAGTGTGGCAGCTTCGTCAGGACCTTCTGGCCACTGCCAGCCTGCCAGCCCTGCCGGGCTCACAACGGCATCTGAGGCTGTGCTCATCAACAGCCCTTCCAGGGAAGGCAGGGGTGTTGCCGCCACCCCACCCTTGCACGTGGATGCCCGCAGAGCTGGGTCATGCCCCAGCCGGCCCTGCCTAGGGGCAGGAGCATTAGCACCTGGGCTCCTCCTGCCAGCGCTAATTAGGCACAAGAGGACTTCAAGTCCCTGTAAGCAAGCGGGAGTCCAGGGCGCTGCCTCCTTCCCAGAGCCTGGCCTGCGCCCTGAAGTCAATCAGCCACCACTTGTGATTCGCAGGGGACCAGGCTTGGTGATAAGGGTTTGTGATAAGTGTTATTTCTTTTAATCCTGGCAGCACCTTTTGAAGTCAGGGCTCTAACTCCATTTTGTAGATGAGACATCGAAAATACTAAGAAAGAAGTAGTCAGCGAGGCTGTCAGGCTAGGCTGCCTGCTCCCACCTCAGTTTCTTCCTCCATAAAATGGGGGTGAAATATTTCATATTGGAAACTGGGTGTAGTTGTGCATGCCTGTAATCTCAATATTCAGGAAGCTGAGGCAGGAGGATCACCATGTGTTTGAGGCCATCCTGGGCTACACAGTGAGTTCAAGGTCAGCTTGGACTACATAGTGAGACACTGTCTCAAAAAATAAGTCTGTGCTGCACTGGGAGGCTAGAGTGGTCGGCACAGACCCTGGTTCTTTATATAGTAGGCGCTCTGTTAATGGAAATCACTCTAGATGCTGACAGCAAGTACTCATTGCTGCTGAGGATTTAAAAAAAAAAATTCCTGGTGGCCTCAGTTTTCCCATTTGTTTAATGGGGTTCTGTCACCCTCATGCTCAGAGTAGGCCTGAAACTGAATCCAGCAGCAGGGATTCCCCAAGGCCCTTGGACTTGGAGCACCAGTGTACTTGTCTTGCTTGTACTAGCTTGTTTAGAGCTGATTGCTAAACTTTCAAGATTTTGTCCAGCTGGTTGCTAAGCTCCGTCATTATTAACAATCACATTATAGAGCCAGGCATGATGATGCATGCCTGGGAGGTTGAGGCAGGCGCTCCTTACCTATGGCTTCCGGCTCCTGCTTCTTGCTCCTGGAGTCCTGGCTTGGGGCAACCCCTGCCGGGGAGTCCCTGTTCCCCGGAGGAAGCAGCTGGAAAGTAGGGTCCAGTTCCAGAATCATCTGGTTGAGGGTCTCCAGGGAGAAGTCAATGTAGGAGTCCAGGTCCTGCGGGGCCCCCGAGGCCTTGGTGTGCAGCTGTGGGGCCTGCGGGACTGGGCTTGGGGGACCCTTGCTGGGTGTGGGGGCCATCAGTGCCTGGGCCCCCCAACCTCCTGTGGTGTAGTAAGGACACGGGGCTGGCAGGTTGGGTGCTGTGTGCAGGGTTGTTCTGGGCTCTGTGCAGGGTGCCAAGGGGCCAGTGTGGCCTCCTGCCAGCAGGGAGCCGGGCATCACCCGTGACATGGGGGGCGCTGTCCCCAGCGGCTCGCTTCTGGCTTCTGACCAGCTGCACTTACATCTGAGCTGTTGGGTTTCAGTGGGTGCTCCAGGACCTGGAAGAGCCAAGCGGGGGACCTGAGCACTTCTGTTACCCCAAACATGGGCACAGTGATCCCTAATTTAAAAGTACAGGAGCCGCTACCTGGCCCATCATCTCAGCTACTCTGGAGGCTGAGGTGGGAGGATCGGAAGTTCAAGACCAGTCTGTATTAGTAAGATCCTGTCTCAAAAATTTTTAGGGCCAGGGAGATAGCTCAGTGGCATAAGCACCTGCACAGCAAGGACAAGGTTCTGAGTTCAATCCCTGGTACAACAACAACAACAAAAAAAAGTGCAAATTTTTTTTAAAAGGGCCAGGATGTGGCTCAGTAGAGCACTTGCCTCTTGTGCGTAAGCCCCAGGACGCAGTCCCCACCACCATGGAACTAGGGAATGAATGCCTGCGAGTGGTTAACGCCACCCTGCCTGGCTCTGCACCCTGGTTCCCCCACTCGCAAGCTGTATGCGTTTGGGGGCAGTTATTTAACTTTTTTCTTTGCCCGGGGTTCCTTCTCTGTGAAACAAGCTGACGCTGGTGAGATGCTTGCGACCCTGCTGGCTTGGTGTAAGTGTTAAGTGGCTTCCCCGACATTTACTGACTGCCTGCGCCAGGCGTATTTATTATAGGAATGGGGCCAGCGTTTACCGAGTGCTTCTGTGCACACACACAACGCCTTTCCTGTCATCACCCCATTTGTGACGAGGCCAGGGGCGCACAGAGGGGAGAAGTCACTTGCCGGTGGCCCTGCTGCCAGCAGTGCCCGGGCTGGGTTGGGCCTTGGCTGCGCGGTGAAGGACAAGCGGTGGACAGCTGTAAGCCAAAACGGAGTCACCAAGGAGCAGAGGGAGCCCTAGGGGGGGGTGGGGACTTCCTGGAGGAGAAGAGGCACCAAGCCCAGCGGGCAGACGAGGGCATCGCTGGACGCCCAGGGAACGGAGCAGTGGCTGGGTGGAGGGCCTTGCAGGCTCTGGGCTGCTGCCAGCCCAGATCCAGGGAGCGTGGGGAGCCGTGGAGGAGCGCTGAGCGGGGTGGGCAGTGGTGTGGCACCATCAGATGCCGTTGGCTCCCTGGGGTTCATCCCTCACTGAGAGCTCCCAACTTCCGCCTTTCCTTTACTGTGGAAGTTCCTTCTGTTGTCTAACCTCCATGCCATGTGCTGTCCTCCCGGAGATGGGGATGAGGAGGAGGTAAGAGGTGGCTGAGAAAATGGTACGGAGGCCCTACCACCTGCCCCCCACCCCTCAACGCACCCCTTTTCCCACTTGCTTCCTTTTCGGTCTATTTGGGAACAGCTAGGGCCAACAGAAGAAGACGGACAGGAGTCTTTATATTCAGATTTAAGCTGAGCCTGGCCCATAAGTGAGATTCCAACCCTCAGTGTCCTCCTCTGTGATATGAGGAGGGACGTCCTGCCTGCATCCTGGAAGAGGTTTGCAGCTCGGCACAGGAGTGCAGGGCACTCATCCCAGGCAGGAGGCTTGCCAATTTGGGCCCAGCCTGGGCAACTTAGTGAGACCCTGTCTCAAAATAAAAAAATAAAGGAGGCTGAGGACCTGGCTTGGTGATAGAACACCCCTCGACATAAAAATAATAAATAAATAAATAAATATTACTCAAAAGAGTAGTTACTGAGGTTCAGAGAGGTATGGTGTGCCTGAGGTCCCACAGTCAGTGATGACAGATGCCAGGCCAACTCTCCCAGTCCTCCCGGGCTTGGCTCTCGGCTGGCTCTGGAGGGGACAAATGCCTATAAATGGAGTGGATGGAGCCCACCTCAGGTCCTCTCCGGGGGCAGCAGTGGACGTGGAGTCAGTTGGCCTCAGCTGGTCCTGGGTCTACTGAGACAGGACCAGGAAGCACCCCGCAGGGCTCTGGCTTTGAGGAGTGTGTGACCAGGATGTGGCTCTGTGCCAACCCCCCAGGTTCTGCCAGGCACGATGGCACAAGCCTGCCATGCCCTACCTTGGGAGGATGAGGCAGGAGCATCACAAGTTCAAGTTCTGCCTGGGCACCTTTGTTAGACTCTGTCTCCAAATAGAAAATAAAGAAAAGGCTGGGAATGGTGCTCAATGCCTGCCCCTGGGTTTAACAACCCAGTACTAAAAAACAAACTATAACTCACTTGAGGCGCTCGGCGGTTCTGGGAGGAGGGGCTCCGTGAGAGGCTGAGGATTTCCCCTGGGTGGGGCAACCAGGGGCTGCCCTGGTACCCCACGGCTGGAGATAAACCCCAACCCTCCCAGGGTCACCCGGTCCCAGGCGGTGGCTGGGCCTTGGATTCCTGGAGACCATTCCTTTCCCTGTCACCCTGGCTCTAAGCTGTCCAGGGCAGGAGGTCTTGGGTTTGGCTGGGCATCTGTCTGTGTCCATTTAGGGTCCCTCTCCCCGTTCGCATTCCTCCTCCTTGTCCCCAACGCTCCAAGGTGAAGGCAGAGGGTAAAGCGGGGTTCCCCCATCAAGCACATAGCCTCCAGAGCCCCTTCCCCACTCCTCAGATCCTGCTTGGAACCAGCCCATTCCGGTGCCCCCAAAGGACCAGCTCGCTGCCTGGACGGCCCAGGAGGCCCCGGAGCGACGTGCAGGGCCCTCCCAAGGGTCTGTGACCTCTGCTCCCCTCTCCGTGCAGATTTAGTTCCCTAAGGAGCTGGACCGGGCGGAGGCCCCGACCCTCTCTCTCCTCCCCCTTCTTTGCGCGTCCCTCTGAGCCCAGCCAGGTGGGGAGCCGACCTGGGCCAAGGCGTCGGGGAAGGGGCTGCGCGCCCCCAGCTTTCCGTGCAGGGCGGAGGACCCTACCTGTGAGACCGGCGGCCGGGCAGCTGCTGCGGGGCGGGGGAGGCTGCTGGGCGCCAGGTGAGGAGCGAGGCCCCGCCCCGGCCCGCCCCCTTCCCCGGCCTACACGTGGCTTTGACCAGGGCGCCCCGCCCCTCTGGGGGTCCCCTGATGCCCTGTGGCACCGCTTGGCTCTGAGGAGCCGGCTTAGGTGGGCGCGGCCGCCCCCTTGCGGGTGTGCCGGTGGGTGGGGGTGCATCTCGGCAAAGCAGGACCCCCGGGGTGGGTGGGGCCCTGGGAATCAGGCGGCACCGGGCTTCTTCCCTTTCTCACTGGACGCTGCAGCCCGAGGAGAGGCCGCAGCTGGAGCAGAAGGAGCTTGGAGCGCACTGACGGCTCGGGACGCCAGGACTGGAAGCTCCCGGCGGTGGAGGTGCAGGCCGGAAGCCCAGCCCTCCCTTTCCACGCTCCTGATGACCCTTGGGGGTCCCAGTGGAGGGGCACTCAGCCACGAGACGGGGTTACTGGGCAGGCTGGTGGTCCACAGAGAGGGCATCAGCTGTGTCCCATGCAGATCCCCACAGGCTGACGGACCTGGCTGGTGTCCCTATGCAGGATTTGACGAGCTGGGGCCTTGGGAGGGTGGTGGGCAAGGCCGTGTGAAGGCGCTGCAGTGCGCTACGGAGGGTGGCAGCTGTGTCCCCTGAGCTGCAGGGGACGGACGCCTGAGTGGAGGCTGAGGCCAGCGCAAGAGACTTCCTTGGTGCAGAGGAGGGGAGTTCACCCCCGGCTGGGCTGGAGCTCGCTATTGTCCTGCCTTGGCCTCCCCGGGTCCTGAGATCACAGGCACGGCCGCCATGCCCTGCTGGACCTTTGACTTCTTACCTATAGAATACACATGACACATGTTCCAGTCCGTGCAGGCTGGGTGAAGCCCAGTCCAGGAATAACTCTTATAAACAGGGTGGATGCCATGCGGTGGCCAGAGCAGAGCTGCAGGGCCCTTAGGCTCTGCCAACGTCCTTAGGCTCAAACGTTGTCACCCACATACCCTTCAAGAGAAGTGTTGAGCCACCATCCCAAGAGCTATTTGTTTATACACCATGCCCATGGAACCTTAGAAATCACATACGTGGGCCAGAGAGATGGCTCAGTGGAATAAGCACTTCCCTAGCAAGTGCAAGGGCCTGAGTTCAATCCCGGGTTCCGCCAAAAAAAAAAAAAAAAAAAAAAAAAAAAAAAAAAAAAAAGAAATCACATACGTGAGCCGCACATGCAAATATGCAGGGTGTTCACATGATAAAAAGGTTCGCACACCGTGAAATACATTGTGCACATTCTACACAGAGTCATCAGCTACACAGATTAGGTACGTTAGGAAACTACTATTAGAAGGGCTACAAGGTGAACAGTAATTGGAAGTAATTTTTAGGGTGTTCCATTAGTGAGCTCTGCTTCGCTTTCATACCGAGAGCAGCAGTGACTCAACGTGCTCGCTCAGCTTTGAAAATTCTGCTTTTCCACTTGGCGGGGCGGTGCGGTGCTGCGCTGGTGTTTATCCTGAGCCTGGTGCAGGTCACTGTTCTGGTTTAATGGCCCTCACAGCTGAAGATACCTAGATACAGACGGACAAGATGTGTCGCGGGCTGAGCTCAGGAAACTGTGACATGAACTTTCAGTTCTGTCCACCAATTATGCAAAGATTTTATTCACAATCGGTGTGCAAATTTCCATTTTCCCTCATGTCAATCAGTTGTTCTTGCGAAGAAATTGGAATATGTTGCATTTTAATACCTTCAGCAAATGGATTTTAAACCCACTCAAACTCTTCATTTAGAAGATTTTTAAGCAAGTTAAAATGTTCTTTTTTTGGCCTGTTGTTTGAAGGACAGAGTAGAAAGAATCTTGGCAGCACACAATTTTTTTTTAGCAACCAAATCATATAACAATGGGAACACTTTCAGGCTTTATCTCAGATGCTCTCTCCTGTGATTTTCCTTCCCAAGGAGCTGCTTTCTTCAACTTTCACTTGATCCCAGTGAAGAGAAGCCTCGGTTTTGGAAATGTTTATGGTAGAATTCAACATATAGGATTTATGAGTCTGTTTTTCCTTTATTGTACACCAAGTGAAACTGAATTCAGATTGGGGGAAACTGCCATTTTTTCTACTGTTTCATTGTTTATTTAAGCAAATTGTCCTTTTGTCCCCTTCCTGCCTGCCTATCTGCCTCTTTTGTGGTACCTGGGTGAGAATCCAGGGCCTCACCTTGAGTTATATCCCAAGCCCTTTTTACTCATGTATTTTTAAAATTTGTCTTTTTTAAGGCAGGCTCTCACAGTTCAGGCTGGTCTTGAAATCACTTTGTAGACCAAGCTGGCCTCAAGCTCACAGAAATCCTCCTGCCTCAGCCTCCCGAGTGCTGGGATTACTGGCAAGCATCACCACCTCTGGCTTTATTTTTAAAAATTTCACACAGGGCCTCACCTACCCAGGCTGGCTTCGAACTTGTGACCCGCCTGCCTCATTTTCCTGGGTTAGCTTGGGGCTACAGATATGCACCATTTGGCAAGTTGTCCTTTTTAAAAGAAGGCTAATTTCATTTGACTCATTCAGTATAAACTGCAGTGTCTGTGGCTGAGGGTACGTAGGTGTCACTCTTGTCACATTCTCTGGCTCAGGTAGCACCCTTATCCCTTCCGGAAACTGACTGACTCACACAAAGGCTGTGACTGGCCAACAGTGAGAGCCAGTGAGGGAGTCTAGATCGGTCTGGGTACATTTAGATACTTTTAGTTTGAAATACATATGTGCCAGCACGGTGGCACATGCCTGTCACCCCAGCACTTGGGAGGCTGAGGCAGGAAGATCCCAGTGTGTTTGAGACCAGCCTGGGTTACGCAGCCAGCCTACACTACATAGCAAGATCTTGTCCCAACAAATAAAGAAAAACAAACAGAAGACAAGAAATGCATAGGTATTATGTTCCAGAATTTTCTTCTCCGTTCCATGCAACCTTACTTGGAGGTCGAATCTCGCTGGACAGACCCCATTAAACCTGAAACACAGGTCCTCACATGGCTGAGTGTGGGGGTGGTACGGGGTGACTGTCGGTCCCCTAGTCCAGCTCCATGCATGGCCTCAGCAGCCCTGAAAATATCTGTATTGCGGTGGCTGTCTCTGGGCCAAAGTGGTTTTTTTTTTTTTTTGTTTGTTTGCTTGTTTATTCATTTGTTTTTGAGACAGGGTCTCACTCCACAGTTCAGGCTGGCTTTCAGCTCACTTTGTAGCCCAGGCTGGCCTCAAATTGGCAACGATCCTCCTGTCTCAGCCTCCCCAGTGCTGAGATTACAGGGATGCACCACCACACCCAACATTTATTTATTTATTTATTTATTTAGTACCAGGGATTGAACTCAGGACCCTGCACTTGCCAGGCAAGTGCTTATTCTACTGAGCTATCTCTTTTTTGGACCCAAAAGTTCAGAAGGATTTTTTTTTTTTTTTGGTTTGGCTGGCTCAGGATGCCTCAAGGGCAGGTCTGGTAAGGCATGAGGATCTGGGGATCGAACCCCAGCATCCTGAGCCTGACTGCCTTGCTTAAGCAGGCAGTTAAACAACTGAGCTAATGGGCAGGCCCCCACACCAGCTTTTAGGGCCAAAGTTTGCATGGTTATGGGTCCTCATCTGCTGATTCTTACACCACCAGGTAGATCTGAAAGGAAGTCAGCCCTCTGTGTTCCAAGAGCCCCCTGGGATGTGGCACTGTCCCTCGGAGCCCCGTGCTGCGTGACTTCTTCCCTAAAGGAGAAGTGTGGCTGCTCGTGGGGGCATCAGTGCCCATTCCCCCAGCCAGCAGTGATGGAGCTGACCAGGGGAAGTGGACTGGCCAGCTGTGTGCCCAGGGCATGGCCCTGCGCCAAGATGAGCTATCACAGGAGACAGGAGAGAGGCCACCCTGCTCCTCCCTGACTGCCCAAACGCCCCCTCTTGTCAGTCTTCCTGGAGCTCTGCTCTGTTGTCCCCAACTGCCCTTTGTCTTCAGTGCCCACAGGTGGTCTTGGCAGCCATGCTGTGTGATCCCCATGGGACTACATTTCCCAGCGTCCCCTGAAGCCAGCCTGGCTATGGTGCGGGTGTACGCACCAGGCTACCTCCCGGTCCTGCTCTGGAGAACCAGTCCCACCCTCTTGATTCCCTGTTTGCTGGCTGGGTGAGAAAGACCCAGGAGTGGAAGTCGAGGCCCTCACTGCAGTGGGCAGAAGGGGCTGGGTCCCTGGGACTCCAGACCTGCTGACCACTGGCATATGAGAAGCCCCAGACCTTGATTCCTTAGGATTTTGCAAGGCAATCTGATGTAGGAATAAGTTTTTCCCCAGTGTTCTCCAAACCGGGGAAAGGATTCACACCTGAAAGCCCCAGTTTTCTCCTGTGATTCAGCGAGGGCTGGGACTCACCACAGTTAAGGCAGTCAGCAAAGCACTCAAGGTGAAGTCCTGGGAGAGGAGAAAGGGGGGGGTCAACCTGGACCACTTCAGGGCCTGGGGAAAGGCCATGGGGGAGGGGCGTGGTCTCAGAACTTTAAAGATGCTCCCCGCTCCTGTACCCCAAGAACAGTTACCTGGTCAGGTAACTAATGGTTATTAATTCGAGTGCTGGTACAGCAGGATTTTGAAGAGGTAGTTAAGTCTTAAGCCAGGGGTCTCAGAATACAGAGGTGACCTGGTGGGCCTCGCCCAATCAGGTGAGCTCTTTGTAAGACGTCTTCTTCCACCTGGTAGCAGAAAAGGCAGGTGAGAGATTAGCAGCATAAGAAGGGTCTGATTTAAGATCACCAGCCAGGCGATAGAGACCTGGGTCCTGCGACTGCGGGAACTGAATTCTACCTACAGCGTGAAAAGGACTGGAGGAGCGGATTCTGATATGGCTTATAAAAGGGTTCAGTATGGTTCCACTTTACTAGACCTGTGATTCTTTGCTGTACAGCAGCGTAAGAGCAATACACACAAGTGTGAAGAATCATGTGTCTTAGGCCACACTC